AAATATCTCAAAGTTTCTTCTTTTATTATTTCTCTCTCTAAATATCTCGAAATGCGTGTTCTTCTTCGCTTGTGGGTGATCCTCATCTTCCTCAAGCTACTATGCTTCTTCTCCACCTCGGAATCTCAGTCCCTAGTCACGTGCCATACACGTGACCTCGAGGCCTTGCGTGATTTCATATCAAATCTCGAACCAAAACCAGACGATTGGGTCAAAGACGACGGTTGCTGCAGTTGGACCGGAATCACCTGCGATTCAGACAACAACGTCACTAAACTTGAGCTCGTGAACAAAAAGCTGTCGGGAAAGTTGTCTGAATCTCTCGGGAAGCTTGATCAGATTCAAGTTCTTAATCTCTCTCGTAACTTCATCAAAGACAAAATCCCTACTTCGATTTTCCACTTGACGAATCTACAAATCCTTGATTTAAGCTCTAACGATCTCTATGGAGAAATCCCAAAAAGCTTAAACCTTCCTTCTCTGCAAAGTCTCGACCTTTCCTCTAATGGATTCAACGGGTCGTTACCTTCTCAAATCTGCGACAACTCTACAAAGATTAAGGTTTTGAGACTCGCGGTGAACTACTTCGCCGGAGATTTCCCTTTTGGGTTTGGGAAGTGCGTTTTGCTTGAGCATCTCTGTTTAGGCATGAACAAGCTCACTGGCAACATCCCTGAAGATGTGTTTGGTCTCAAAAGTTTGAATCTTTTAGGGATTCAAGAGAATCGTCTCTCTGGATTGTTGAGTCCTGCGATTGGTAATCTCACGAGCCTCGTTCGTCTCGATTTGTCGTCGAATCGGTTTTTCGGTGATATACCGAATGTGTTCGACGAAATGCCTCAGTTAAAGTATCTATTAGCTCAGTCCAATAGATTCACTGGAGGAATACCGAAATCGTTGGCGAATTCGAAGAGTTTGAATCTGCTTAACTTGAGGAACAATTCGTTAAGTGGTGCTTTGGTGTTGAATTGTACAGAGATGATTGCTTTGAACTCTCTTGATTTAGGTACTAACAGATTCAATGGTTCATTACCTGAGAATCTTCCGGTTTGCAAGCGGTTAAAGAACGTTAACCTTGCTCGAAACGCGTTTCATGGACAAGTGCCAGAGAGTTTCAAGAACTTCCAGAGTCTATCTTACTTCTCGTTGTCGAATTCGAGTTTGGTTAATATCTCCTCTGCGCTTAGGGTACTTCAGAATTGCAAGAACTTGACGACTTTGGTTCTTACATTGAATTTCCATGGAGAGGTTTTACCTGATGATTCGAGTTTGCTTCGTTTCGAGAAGCTTAAGGTGCTTGTCGTTGCGAATTGTAGGCTTACTGGTTCAATGCCGAGATGGTTAAGCTCGAGTAATGATCTTCAGTTGTTGGATCTTTCGTGGAACCGTTTGACCGGAGCTATCCCGAGCTGGATTGGTGATTTCAAAGATCTTTTCTACTTGGATTTATCGAACAACTCGTTTACCGGAGAGATCCCCAAGAGCTTAACTCTATTGCCGAGTCTCACAAGCCGAAATGTCTCATTCGATGAACCATCTCCGGATTTCCCTTTTTTCATGAAGAGGAACGAGAGCGCGAGAGCGTTGCAATACAATCAGATTGTCGGGTTTCCTCCAACGATTGAGCTCGCTCACAACAATCTCTCTGGACCTATCTGGGAGGAGTTTGGTAATCTGAAGAAGCTTCATGTGTTTGATTTAAAATGGAATGAATTGTCTGGTTCTATCCCTAGCTCGCTTTCGGGTATGACGAGCTTGGAAGTTCTTGATCTGTCCAATAACCGTCTCTCGGGCTCAATACCGGATTCTTTGCAGAAACTCACGTTTCTGTCGAAATTCAGCGTCGCTAGTAACAATCTTTCGGGGAGGATCCCTTCCGGTGGTCAGTTTCAGACATTTCCAAACTCGAGCTTCGAGAGTAACAATCTCTGCGGAGAACATAGGTTCCCCTGTTCAGCAGATACAGCGGAACGCAGCTCTGACGGAACACCGATCAAACGGTCAAAAAGAACCAAAGGCAGTGACATTGGAATGGCGATTGGGATCGCCTTTGGTTCGGTATTCCTTCTTACCCTTCTCGCGTTGATTGTGTTGCGTGCTCGTAGACGGTCAGGAGAAGTTGATCCTGAAATAGAAGAAGAGAGCATGAACCGCAAAGAACTCGACGAGATTGGATCTAAGCTTGTGGTTTTGTTTCAGAACAATGATAAAGAACTATCCTTTGATGATCTTTTGGACTCGACGGACAATTTTGATCAAGCTAACATCATTGGCTGTGGCGGGTTTGGTCTGGTTTACAAAGCAATGTTACCGGATGGAAGAAAAGTCGCGATTAAGCGGTTATCTGGAGATTGCGGTCAAATCGAAAGAGAATTCAAAGCAGAAGTTGAAACACTCTCAAGAGCACAACATCCGAATCTTGTTCTTCTTCAAGGATTCTGTTTCTACAAGACTGACCGGCTTTTAATCTATTCGTATATGGAAAACGGAAGCTTAGACTATTGGCTACACGAGCGTAATGACGGTCCAGCTTTATTGGATTGGAAAATCCGGCTTAGAATCGCTCAAGGCGCTGCAAAAGGGTTACTTTACTTGCACGAAGCTTGTGATCCTCATATCTTACACCGAGATATTAAATCAAGTAATATTCTTCTCGATGAGAATTTCGATTCTCATTTAGCGGATTTCGGACTGGCGAGGCTGATGAGTCCTTACGAGACACATGTAAGTACAGATTTGGTTGGGACTTTAGGTTACATTCCTCCGGAATACGGGCAAGCCTCGGTTGCTACTTACAAAGGCGATGTGTATAGTTTTGGAGTTGTGCTACTCGAGCTTCTAACCGATAGAAGACCAGTGGATATGTGTAAACCAAAGGGAGGTAGAGATTTGATCTCGTGGGTAGTTCGGATGAAGAATGAGAATCGAGCAAGCGAGGTTTTCGATCCCTTCATTTACAGTAAAGAGAATGAAAAGGAGATGTTTCGGGTTCTTGAGGTTGCTTGTTTATGTTTAAGCGAAAACCCGAAACAGAGGCCAACTACTCAACAGTTAGTCTCTTGGCTTGATGATGTCTAGAAGGACAAAAACAATCTCTTTGCAGACTTTAAATCTTCAGAGAATCAGTGATACATTTTGTTAGAAGTGATTTTCATACTTTTGAGATACAATGTAAATAGTTAATAATTTGTTTCTTTGTTTTTTCATTTCCATTTGTGATTCAGATTCGGATATTGAAGATAAAAGACATAACATACACAGTATCTGAGAAAACTGAAAACTGTTTTTGTAATTGTTCAGAAATTATAAGTTCTTGAAGAAGGTTGTGTCTCAAACATAGAGTAAGCAAAACTTAACAAACATTTGTTCCTTTTATTTAATAAAGCTATATGGATCTCTGTTGATTATGTTATTATATACCTAAGGAAATATATGGTAGAATTTTGTAAAGAAATATTAAATTTGGTAGCTAAATTCCTTTTGGCCTTCAATAAAAGTATATTCCTTTTGGCCAACTATAGTCAATTTTCGTTAAGAAACAATTCCATTAATTTTTAATTTATGGGTGTGAAAATATTGTTCAAGTCATTGGACCAAAAAAACATTCAAAGATTTTGACTTTGTATGGTCAATATATTAACATTTGCTTCACTGCAAAAGTTTGAAGTTAACATATTACAATTTTCTTTTCTATTGATTTCACTATCCCCAAAGAGAACCAACTGAAAATCAAAACTCTTCCAATTTTTTCAAATAATTTTATTAGAGATTCAATAGTACAACATTTGATAGTCAAAATGTTCACTTATAGCTCTTTCAACTATATGAAAAACTGCCAAAAATATGACAAATGAAGTACACGAAAGAAAGAAAAATAAGAGCACTAAAAATTCATAATGCATTATGCATGTATCTATCACTCTCTTTTCAAAATGCATTTATAGTTGAAGCACTCAAAATATGATAAATTCAATAGTCTTCCTTTCATTTTTGTTTGTTTGTTTCTCTATTTAAAATGATTTATAATTATGAAAGACTCTTCTTATAGGCTAGATCATTTTTATGCCTCTAGTGGACTTTTATCATTTCATGAGGAGAGAAATCTTCATAATTGAATAATGAGTATTTGCATTGGATAGCAACACAATTTTTGGTATTTAGCCAACTAACAGAGAGAAATTCTGACACTGTTCTGACACTATTCTGACATTATTTATAATATTTTTACCCCTAATTGCGTCTCCCAACTCTATATATGTCGGAAGCAACAATAAGTCTGGTGAAAGCAGTGACATATCCTGATAATATAATCAGTATCCGGATAGTAGAACATGTTAAAGAATCATCTTAATTGTTAGCCGGATACAAATTTTAAATAACGCGACATACAAATTTTAAATAACGCGACAATATAATAAGTTGGATGTATTTTTTTAACAACTTATAGAAAAGAAGATTAGTAGCCGGATAAAATATAAGTACAACAAATAAAATTTGATAGAAAGCTGGATAATATTATTGTTATATGGTTAATAAAGTCAGTAGCCATATAGTATATTATATTTAGGAATCTTAATTGTTAGCCGAATATTAGTTATAAATATGGACAACCTACTAAATTTTGAGTCAATTCCCAGAAATTTCAACACACGAAATTTGAAAGGTTAAATTGTAATAGACCTCAATGCATGTTACTTTCTCACTATTATTTTCCTAAATTTCTACTTTCTCACTGTTAGTTTATTAATTATACTATATTTTATTGTTATCTACTTAATTCACTCTAAAAAACTATTACAACAACACTGATTACAATGACAGTTTAATCAAGATTTTTAAGAAGAGC